CCCCATGACGCTGGGGGTAGTCAACTTAGCCCTCAGTTCAATCCGTTGCCCCATGTCACGTGTCGTAATCAACTTAGCCCTCAGTTCAATCAGTTGCCCCATGACGCTGGGGGTAGTCAACTTAGCCCTCAGTTCAATCAGTTGCCCCATGTCACGTGTCGTAATCAACTTAGCCCTCAGTTCAATCCGTTGCCCCATGTCGCTGGTCGTAATCAACTTAGCCCTCAGTTCAATCAGTTGCCCCATGTCACGTGTCGTAATCAACTTAGCCCTCAGTTCAATACGTTGCCCCATGTCGCTGGTCGTAATCAACTTAGCCCTCAGTTCAATCAGTTGCCCCATGTCACGTGTCGTAATCAACTTAGCCCTCAGTTCAATCAGTTGCCCCATGTCGCTGGGGGTAGTCAACTTAGCCCTCAGTTCAATCAGTTGCCCCAGGTAGACCCCAGCTTGCATCCTGACCTCACTGTTAGTAGAAAAGTTCTAGTAACCAAATATAAATTATTTCGCTTTGTCTCCTTTTTAAAGAGCTTATTCCATGATGTAGCAGAATAACAAGATATTTCATAATTAATTTATTGCATTATATATTTACTTACTTGTTTAAATAGATCGCGTCAACAAATACACATCACGTGCTGAACAATTCTATTTAAACACGTCTTTCTTTCTTGAATGATTACTGTTTAAACGGGGTTAATTGAAGTATTGAATCTTTTTTTACAAAGTCCCATGACTATTGAGTATTCCGTTGAATTGTTAAACCTTAAAAAAGTAAGAAGATACTGATTTAATTAACACGTTCAAGCCACAGAGTTTATTTACATATCTTTGCTACAAAGATCCTTTGTTTAGATATTTTCTATTATTTGAAGGATCTATGATAACATTCATCTTTTGATCGTTTGATTAGATGGATCGTTTTATAATACTGAACAGTTAAAATATATTTTATAGGATTTATATTTCGATAAGATGTATCTTTTGATAAGGTTAATCTTTTAGTAATAATCTCTTTTGATGAGAAGTATATTTTAATATTGAAATTAGTGATCGGAAGTTTTTTTTTTAAAGATAAAACACACATAAGATTGATATTTCGATAAGAAATATTTCTTCAAAACATTTATCTCTGCATACAATTTATTATTAATTTTTGTTTTTAAAAGATTGATCTTTGCTAATATGGATCTCTTAATGAGGTCTTTTGTGCTGACTCGACTCTAATGAGTTGATTTATTTTTTTCGATTAGTTTTACAATAAATCCGAGAGATCCTTTGATAAGATCAACCTTTTGCTTTTCTGTTCAATGAAATGGCTATCTATGACTTGTATCAGTTTGATCATGTTAAGATAAAATTAGCAGATAATATTAAATGTAACAATTAAAATATTTATATTTTCCTCTAATAGCCTTATAGTACACCATCCATGATAGGCAAAGGATAAAACTCTTAAATAATAATAATAATAAAGATTATTTAAAAATCACGCTTCATCCCCAAAGGCTCATACATACCACATTGAAGTACAAAATTCAACATTACAAAGCTACATACAAGAATACCCATTCTAAGTCTTTTATACCTTGCAACCATAAACAACACAGGCCAATATACATCTAAAAGATAATAGCTAGATAGACAACATCACCCTAGCAGGTGTTTGCGAAAAAGATAAGTCTTCAAATCAGTTTTGAAAGACTCCAGTGTCTGGCTGTTTCTGGTAGCGATAGGAAGAGTGTTCCAAATTGTTGGGCCAGCAAATGTGAAAGTGCGCCCCTCGAAAGAATGATAGAAAGAATTTAAATATTTTGTGCTCCTTCAGAATATAATTTCCTATAATCCTTTAAAAGCTGTTTAAAAAAAAAATAATTAAACTTTAAAAAGTAAAAAATAAATATGATTCTAAATATAGAAAGGCTAAGGCATAAACATTAAAACACTTGCTTTATTTTTAAGCTTTAATTTAAATTTTAAATTCTAAGCTTTAATTTTAAGTTTTAATTTTAAGTTTTGATTTAAAACTCGGCAACGATGAACTGAACGCCATTTAAAGCAAAAACTTTCACATTCCAACAAAATGGATTGTTTTTCTTTCTGAAGTGCAGCGTGACGGTTAATCTTTTTCATTACACGCGTTGTCTAGTGTGGTGGTCCCCCAATGGTGGCCCCCGGCCCGGCGCCGGTACACGAGCCTTACGTTGCCCGTCAGCACAACAGGAACATTCATGGTTAAATGAAAATACAATTAATTTGACCCCGCTCCCCTCCAGTTTAAGAATCGCTGGTCTATTGTTCCAAGTGATCTCTATATTAATATTTTGATCTCATGTTGGCTGCGTGCGTCATTTAAATTATTTTTAAAAAAATTATAGATCGATATTTTAAATAGTGGTCCTGCTAGTTTAAACCCAGAGAGAATAGAACAACACGATTCGAAACTTGAATTACTTCTCAACTAATTGTGACGATGTTGAGATGGCGTTCATCTAATGATCGTGCGTTAATCATTTTATTAGAAAAATCAAGTATAGAATTCTTCACAGGCAGCGATTCCCAAGTTGTTGTTTCTTATTTTGAAGAAAGTCTACATTGGTTTGTGATTTTAAAAAAAAACATAACAAAACAAAATAACCTTTGAAATCACATTAAACGCAAACACACAACACGAAGGGGAAACAACTAGCGGTGTGAAGAAAGTTACAACGGCTGGAAGGATTCCGTAACGAAAAACCTATTCATATTAAAAATCAATTGTTTTTTTTTTTTAAATTTGTGTTTCCGATTTTTGTGAAAGGGGAAACAAACAACCCCCAGCATAACGTTGCATTTTCAAATAATATTGTGTGAGTTCATTCCCCTGGAGTCGATTTTGATCGGGTCTGCTCAACTCCGTTTGGCTGGATGGGTATGGATTATATTTTGTGTTGCTTTTTTTTTTTCATAAAAAATTGTAAACCGTTGAATTGTATGTAGGCTTACAGCAGTCTCGAGTTAACACAACAAAAGTTGGTAGACAATGTCGTTCAAATGTGATGACCTTCCACTGGTGTGCCAAAAGATGTTTGGAATAATGTATGCCTCAGATTCAAGAAGATTTGAATGCATTGTGTATTAATCCTTCAATCATGTTATTTATCGTCTAGTATAATAATGGAAAAAGCGGATCTCATGTTCTTGCTTTTGAACCGAAAACCGGTTGGAGATTTTCACAAAACGATTTTTATCTTGATAAAAAAATAATAGGAAAAGCAATCAAGATCAGGGTTTCTTTCAGCTATATCTCCGGGGGGGGGGGGGCAATGGGGGGGAAAGCCAAGTGCGGGGGGGGGGGGGACCGGGGGGGAAAAGCAAAGTGCACCCCCAGAGCAAAAATAGGGGCAACGATAAACCAGCTGGAAACTGCTGGCACTACCCCCCCCCCCTACCCGAAAAATCTGAAATGCACCCCCGGGGAAAAATTTCTGAAAGAAAGACTGATCAAGATTTCTTAAAAATAATTAAAATACTGTAAAACAATAAATATCTATACTATCATTTAAGATTGGCTCTCAGCACGGAAAGTCAACTCCCAAATGGCAGTGACGTTGCAGTACTCGTATTTCGACATTCGTCCCACAAGCATGTTTATGCCATCATTAATGGAACTATCAAAACCAGTATACAATTCACTTCTGAAAATGTAAGTTACTTCACGAATGAATTCATTGTAAGTTTTCTCGTCACCATTGCGGGCTACAACATCTCATGGAATGGAAGAGTCTACCTCAGCCATCCGCACTACGCCAAAGACCTCAGTACTGTACACTTTGCGTCAACTGCAATGTGTATCCCAGTTGAAACTCAAACAGTTTCTCTCACAGTTGGATTCTTTTTTAAAAACCTGTCAGCTTAATTACTTGAAAACCATAGGTTCCCGAGACTCTTTCAAAGTATGTGACTTGTTGCTTTGATTTGGAGTATTCCTAATACGCTAATGACAACAGTGGCTGCTACAGCTGTTTTGTTCTTGTTGTTTAAAGTAAATAATTTTGTTCTCACTAAGTAATCTTGGTTTTTACCATAAAGGCTGAAGCTGAACTTGTTTTTGTTTTGCTCACTGAGAAACGTCATTAACTTTCGATTGGCTCTGCGGGTGTTGGGCTATTTTGATTTCTTTTTTTTTTTTTGGTGGGCGTGGTGTCGGGGAGGTTTGCTTCAAATAAAGTAAATATACTTCACGTAAAGATACAGATATACGTTGACTCCATTACGTTATTAACCGAATTTATAAGTTTACATTGTCACAATATCTTATGGTGTTTGATTTTGTAATGGGCTTCTACCATACTCCAATCTATTTTTTGCCATTTTTTTCTTATCACACAGATATTATATTTCATATTTCGCAACATTTATTTACATTTTTGTCTTTGTTGTGCTGACAAATGCCTTTAAAAGGAACGTCTTAAATTGTATTTTATTGAAGCTTTCTTATTTGTGTCTTTTGAACCCACTCAAGATTCATCGCAGTCCATCTCCTTTATAACGACACTGGTTCAAGCTTTTACTTACTCTAGTGCGTTTCCCTTTTTTGAAATTTTTCAATTTCCCAACTGAGCACACACAAATCTTTTTGAAGACACAGTCATAAACAAAAGTATCATATCGCGTTTATCAATAGAGGTTTATAGATAATAAACATTAAGATTTTGATGTGGTAACTATTTATTTTATATTAGAACGGGGCTATATTTCAATTATTTTTAATGAATTGTCTCTCCTTATCCTTTGAGGGTTTGCAAATTTGACTTGTAAGACATTTGATTAAGAATGTACTTGGTCATGTACTTTTATAATAAAAAAAAAAAAAGACAAAGTTTTGAAAAGCTCAAACTTGTGAAGTCATTTAAGACTAAGCGTGTAGTATTTAACGTTTCCGCTTTCTCCTTAACGTTATTCTCAACATTCTGCTGAAAAAAATAGAAAGAGCTTCTCCTAGCGATACACCTCTATTGATATAGTTTTGTTCTGAAGCTGTCAGAGTATCGGTTATCGTGGATCTCAAAACTATATTTGAGACCCAACCAATTGTCAAGACGATAAAGTGTTACAGTAGGGGGTCTGGGATTACTCGAGCACGATATCATGTCATATGACTGACACACATACTGAGAGGGGTCGGCTAACGGGGATCTACAGAATGAGTCACGTGACATAACATTGTATTTTAAGACTATAAGCAAGGTGAGAACAGGTAATTGATGTTTATTTACTAATTCATAGAAGAGAAAGGAAGAGAGCAGACAGAGGTCAACGAATATGCAGGTAATGAGTGTAAATGTATTTCCCGTGTCATATCATCGGCGCTGTCTGACCTGGGATTCAAGGAATATTGAAGTATCTCACGAAGATGGCAAGGACATCAGCTTGGCTCGTCTTGCCACCAGTCCATGTCACGGCTTCATTCCCCTCGGCGTAGAGAAAAACGGGGAATGCATTATTTTGTTCCCATGGACAGTATACATTCTGGGTGTCAATTGCAACAAACCAACCGTTATCATTTGGACATCCGTTATATGAATGGTTTATAAAGAATTTCCTCCTACTCGGAGTGGTTTCTCCAATAATGCTAAAGTAGTTTGCAGGTTTCGTTTTCAAATCTGTCCAGGAAGAGTCCTTGACCCTGTTTATGTCAAACCAGTTTAGGTACGTGGACCCGTTGCCGTCAAATAAAACATGCTTCACCTTCGTGTTGTTCTTGTAGAGCACAAATGCGACCTCATCAATGTTCCCCCAGTTGTCCAGAATGTCGTCGTCTCTGTAATGGTTTTTGCATGGGAACGAAAGATCCAACTGAAAGAAAATAAAATAAAAAAGTCTCAAGCTTTTCACCAACAGCTGTTTTTGAATGTAAACGTTTCTGTAATTGCTAAATTTTATCTGAAGCGCAGTTAGCCTAGCCCTAGGCCGGATTACTGCAATGAGCCTAGCCCTAGGCCGGATTACTGCAATGAGCCTAGACCTAGGTCGGATTACTGCAGTGAGCCTAGCCCTAGGCCGGATTACTGCAATGAGCCTAGACCTAGGTCGGATTACTGCAGTGAGCCTAGCACTAGGCCGGATTACTGCAATGAGCCTAGACCTAGGTCGGATTACTGCAGTGAGCCTAGCCCTAGGCCGGATTACTGCAGTGAGCCTAGCCCTAGGCCTGATTACTGCAGTGAGCCTAGCCCTAGGCCGGATTACTGCAGTGAGCCTAGCCCTAGGCCGGATTACTGCAGTGAGCCTAGCCCTAGGCCGGATTACTGCAGTGAGCCTAGCCCTAGGCCGGATTACTGCAGTGAGCCTAGCCCTAGGCCGGATTACTGCAGTGAGCCTAGCCCTAGGCCGGATCACTGCAGTGAGCCTAGCCCTAGGCCTGATCACTGCAGTGAGCCTGGGCGTTGGCTGGAGTACTGCAGTGAGCTAGCCTCAGGCCGGGTTACTGCAGTGAGCCTAGCCCTAGGCTGGGGTAATGCAGTGAGTCTTGCCCTAGGCTGGGGTACTGCAGTGAGCCTAGCCCTAGGCTAGGATACTGCGCTAAAAAAACACTAAATAATAATAAGAAAAGTGGGAAGTACTCAGTACCCAATTACTCATTTCATTCACTTTAAAAACTAATGGCCTTTTGTTGTACATGTAAGGAAAACATGCATACTTACACTCACACACACTCACACGAATGTAAACAAAACACACACAAAAATACTGATGCTAATTATGTTAAAAACAGTTGATAAATATTTCAAGAAAAAAATATCATTTGTAGGTAAATAATTCTTTGGGCGTCGCAAACTATCATTTAAGATTGTCTCATTTTTAGGAATGATACGTGCACATCTTTCTTAATAATACCCACTGGATTGATGCAAAGATCAATTTCACCAACCTGTTGGCATCCACTTTCCACATGTACAGGTATTCCAGTCCCGTCTTTGTAAGCAGAGTAAATTGACTTGTTTATGCCGGCCGTACCACGGAAAGCAAGTTTCCATTGACTTTTGAAGATGTTGTTTGGGCAGAGGATGTTGTTTGGGCAGAGGTTGTCTCTCTTAACTAACTGAAAGTAGTGGACATTTTTTTAAAAAAAATATTGTAAATAAAACTGTATATTGCTGTGCTTGCCGGTCTCGAAGAAAATGTTTCCTAAATTTTGAAACACCTTTTTTTAACGAAGCAGCTGACCACTGATAGTTAGGTCTATTTATTTTTATAGAATAGCTGACCACTGATAGATAGGTCTATTTATTTTTCTAGAATAGCTGACCACTGATAGTTAGGTCTATTTATTTGTCTAGAATAGCTGACCACTGATAGTTAGGTCTATTTATTTGTCTAGAATACGAACACGGTCTTAGCTTCGCATATTTTCATTCCATTAACGTCGCCGGTACTGTTCAATATATCGCCACTGCTCTACAAACGTTCATTATTATCGTGCAGGTAGCACTGGTCATCTACAAGCAGCGATTCATTGAGTGTCTCGGTTTTTCGAATGACATCTTTTGCAATCGTGTCAATGTCTATAGTGAAGAGAGACGGCATAAGAACGCAGAAGGCCTGGCGCCATATTTTACCACAATCCACTCGGTAAGTACATTATTTTAGTCCAATGTGTCAAAAGAGTTTTCTTGTCGACAAGCGCAGATGAATCTGTCCTTGATGTTCATACGATTGTTCACACATTTTACAGGGGGAAACAATAGCATTGGTGCACACTGTTTCTTTACTAAAGCCTCAAGGGGCTAAGAAATATTTGAACTATAACAATAGTTCGCGCCCGCTTCTCCAAGGTCTAAGCAAATATTTCACAAGTGTGGCTGAGGAGAGTGGTGCCTCTGTATGTGTCGCAGACATTTTTGTTTCCTTTCGTCTTCCATATTAAGACATATGTCTCTGTCTGTCTTCTGGGGCGCTTCTTTTTTTTTTTCATTACGTTTTGAAATAGGATTATTAGCCATTTAATACCGAGCTCTCCACGAGCAATTAAATTCCTTCAATGGTAATTCTATCTATACCTATGAGCTTGTGCTTTGGATTAGTCCTTTTCACATCTTGAACTTCTTCATGTTCTTCTTCAAAGATATCGACAATAAAAGCTGTTTTAGTACGTTTCTCTCTGCGGTATAGGGCAGCCCTATAAAGCAGTCAACCCATTTCTGCTTGAATGCAGTGTCAGATAAAGAATTTCGATAAGTGGAACATGTTCCCCTTTCTCTCCATATAAAATCATCCATTTTAACCCTTAGAAAATGCTTAAGGTTTTATATAGCAGGATTTGATTTTTTTATACTTTGCTAGCTTCTAAATTCACCTTGCAATATTGTTGACACACACACACACCAATAAATGAAATTAACCAAGAGGGTCTCCTGTCCACAAATATTATAGACTTGGTTAGAACCTTATGCATCCCAAATTACGGGACTTGGCTAGAACCTTATGCATCCCAAATTGCGGGACTTGGTTAGAACCTTATGCATCCCAAATTACGGGACTTGGTTAGAACCTTATGCATCCCAAATTACGGGACTTGGTTAGAACCTTATGCATCCCAAATTACGGGACTTGGTTAGAACCTTATGCATCCCAAATTACGGGACTTGGTTAGAACCTTATGCATCCCAAATTACGGGACTTGGTTAGAACCTTATGCATCCCAAATTACGGGACTTGGTTAGAACCTTATGCATCCCAAATTACGGGACTTGGTTAGAACCTTATGCATCCCAAATTACGGGACTTGGTTAGAACCTTATGCATCCCAAATTACGGGACTTGGTTAGAACCTTATGCATCCCAAATTACGGGACTTGGTTAGAACCTTATGCATCCCAAATTACGGGACTTGGTTAGAACCTTATGCATCCCAAATTACGGGACTTGGTTAGAACCTTATGCATCCCAAATTACGGGACTTGGTTAGAACCTTATGCATCCCAAATTACGGGACTTGGTTAGAACCTTATGCATCCCAAATTACGGGACTTGGTTAGAACCTTATGCATCCCAAATTACGGGACTTGGTTAGAACCTTATGCATCCCAAATTACGGGACTTGGTTAGAACCTTATGCATCCCAAATTACGGGACTTGGTTAGAACCTTATGCATCCCAAATTACGGGACTTGGTTAGAACCTNTCATTGATTCTTTGAGACTGTGAGCTCAGAAGGTCTTCTAACTTGTCAACAAAGTTGTTTAAAACAGCTTGTGCAGGTAAATTCTGCCCTGCAGGTCTTGTCACGGCCAAAACGCTCTCAACACTGAAACTTGAACTGATGAAACGAACCTCGCACAAGAATTCGCCCTCGTCGCAAACATTTCGACTCTTAAAGAACAATTCAACCGTGGCGCCGTCTGTAGAGAAGTGCGATTGTTTCAAAATAACGTTTTCGTCTGTTTGCGGTTGAAGATTCGTGTGTACGGATACGGAAAATAATTTGGTACCTTTCCTTGCTACGTCGACGATGTCCACTTCCAAGACGGATATGATGTGTTTGTTAACACTTTGTTGACAGCGTAGAATACCACAGACGTTGTCGTTGGCCGGCGTCGCTTGTTGGTGGCTGAATGTAAGATTGATTCCTGGACAATGGGAGATTTGTGTTGAAAAAAAATTGTGTCATATTTGAATAATTGGTAGCATGTCTTTTTTCTTACAAAATTTCTTTAAATCTAAACACAACCTATGCGAGACTACATTAAAAAAAAGTGAAACTGTGTTTTTATTAGTATCATATTTCATTTAAAAGCACTATATATATATATATATATATATATATAAGAATGAGCTATGCTGACTTTAACGCTAAAGAATCAAAAAGATTTAAATACGTTCGGATTCTTAAAAACAATCATAATTATTTTCTAATATTTTACGGAAATCGAATAAAATTTAAATGCGCAAAAAATAACAAAAATACGCTTTTAATTTAGTAAAAGTTTAAGTATTAATATTATAACTGACAATTACATTTAAAGTGGCAACTAATCAAATATTTTAAGGACTTTGTCCGAATTTAAAAAATATGGAAAAAAATTAATAAAAAAATTATTATCTAAGAATTATATCGTAATCACATTTATCGAGAAAACTCAACCATCAGTTGTTTTGCTGCGTATTTTAGTGAGTTGTTAATATTGCAAAATCAAATTAAAATTAATTTCTTCTTAATAAACACACATATGATGTAATAGCGCGAATCGCCTATGTTAGCCAAAGCTCTTAAGTTTCTTTAATTTGTTCACCGCGCAATACAAAGTTGATAATCCATTTCCCTATTTTTAAAAGTCAAATTAATAGATATAATTGATTGCTTTTTAAAAGGAAAGCTCTTACGGCTTACAAGGAAAAGCCTACACCCAACAGGTTGCATGCCTTAAAAACAGCCAAGTCACTTGCCCAAAAGGTTGCACGTAATTGTGCTAATACCTACTGGCTCAACCTCTGCTCCAGCATACAGTCAGCTGCAGATGTACGAAAACATCAAAAAGGCAACTGGCCCCTTGACGTCCAAAGTTGCTCCTCTAAAGTCCAAAAGTGGAGAAATTATCCAAGACCAGGCAGCACAGCTAAAACGGTGGGTTGAGCATTATCTGGAATTGTATTCAACAGTTACCACAGTCTCCAGCACCGCTCTAGATGACATCCCAGATATGCCACTCATGGAAGAACTTGATGTCGTGCCCTCACAGGAAGAGCTGAGCAAAGCTATTGATAGCCTAGCTTGTGGAAAAGCGCCTGGGGATGATGGAATACCACCAGAGGCTCTAAAGAGTGGTAAGATAGCTTTACTCCAACCATTGCACGAGATTCTGTCCCTCTGCTGGGAACAGGGCTACATCCCCCAAGACCTAAAGGATGCAAATATAGTGACACTATATAAAAACAAAGGTGATAGGAGTGATTGCAATAATTATCGCGGCATTTCACTCCTTAGTATTGTAGGAAAGGCCTTTGCCCGTGTCATACTAACACGTTTACAGAGTCTAGCATCCCGTGTCTATCCAGAATCTCAGTGCGGTTTCCGGTCTGGGCGGTCTACCATAGACATGGTGTTCTCCATACGACAGCTCCAGGAAAAATGCAGAGAGCAGCAGATGCCACTGTACATTGCCTTTGTGGACCTTACAAAAGCCTTTGATTACGTCAGTCGCAACGGGCTATTCAAAATACTGGCAAAAATCGGCTGTCCCCCTCACCTACTTGCCATCATCAGAGAGTTCCATGAAAATATGCAGGGTACAGTGCAGTTCGATGGAGCCAAGTCAGAAGCCTTTCCAGTCAGCAGCGGAGTTAAACAAGGTTGTGTACTCGCACCAACACTGTTCGCAATATTCTTCTCTGTACTACTTCGATACGCATTCAAGGATAGCAGTGAGGGAATCTGGTTACACACCAGAGCTGATGGAGGACTTTTCAACACTGCCCGCCTCCGAGCCAAGACCAAAACGACAGATGTCCTAATTCGCGAGCTACTATTTGCGGATGATGCGGCACTAACAGCACACACAGAAATTGGTTTGCAACAACTCGTGTCAAGCTTCTCCAATGCCTGCAAAGAATTTGGTCTGCAAATCAGCTTGAAAAAGACAAACATCATGGCCCAAGACACTCGACCTCCACCTAACATAAAAATCGATAATGAAAACTTGGAGGTTGTGGACAGCTTCACCTACTTGGGGTCCAAGGTCTCCAATACACTGTCCATTGAAGAAGAAATTAACAGCAGAATCGGCAAGGCAGCTGCCACAATGGCTAAACTAAATAAACGGGTCTGGCAAAACACCAAGCTAACGGAGAAAACCAAACTGTGCGTCTATCGAGCTTGTGTCATCAGTACACTACTATACGGGAGCGAGACATGGACCACCTATACATCCCAAGAGCGCAAGCTTAATAGCTTCCATATGAGATGCCTGCGTCGCATCCTTGGTATTAAATGGCAAGAAAAAGTGACTAATAGTGAGGTCCTAATGCGTGCGAATACCAAAAGCATGTTCACAATCCTTAGTAAAAGACGCCTGAGATGGCTAGGTCATGTTAAAAGAATGAGTCCCGGCCGCATTCCGAAAGACCTCCTATATGGTGAACTTGCTTCGGGAAAGAGGAAAACAGGTCGCCCACGTCTGCGATTTAAAGATGTCTGTCAAAGGGACATGAAAGCAGCCAAAATACATACAAGTGACTGGGAGTGTAAGGCAAAAGACCGATCTACGTGGCGCACAGTTGTCAAAGAGGGCGTCATGGTAGCCGAGGAGCGAAGAATGGAAGAGGATGCAGACAGAAGAGCTAGTAGAAAGGCCAAAACATTTAGAAGCACGGAACTCGTGTGTAAAAACTGTGGTAAAGACTGTCACTCAAGGATAGGACTGCACAGCCACTTGAGAAAATGCAACCCAACCCAACGGTGATGCACCATCGTCTCACGAGACGGAAGGATGCCGATTAATAAAACACAGACAAATTTTAGCTTTGTGCTTTTAACATTTAAAAAGTTTTTACTTTTGTTAATTCCAAAAATATACTTTATTAAAGGTATAAGGCAATAAAAACTTTACCTTTAAATATATTTCTAATGCCGTCAAGTCAATCAGTGAAGCGACGCACCATAACCAAATAGCATTCACTAATCAACTTATAACTCATCCAAATAACAACAAACCATATGAAGTGCAAAATATGTTACTTTAGGTATGGAAGGTACAACAATCTAGTGCAAGATTTTATTAATTTTATTTAAATGGGGGGGGGGCATGGTAATTTGCCCCAGGCAGCACAAGATACGTCTCAAAATAAAGGAACGAATTTGATAAATAATTAACCTTCTTGGGTACATACATATCGGACGTAGGAAATAGGATGTGTACATTTTTACGAGGATGACAAATAAATATATTTAAATCCTACGGTATTACATTTGTGAAAAAAGAGATGTAACATTCTCTTTTTACAAATATGGGTTAGTTCATTTTGCCCCAAGCAGCACAAGACACGTCTCAAAATAAAGGAATGAATTTGATAAATAATTAACCTTCTTGGGTACATACATATCGGACGTAGGAAATAGGATGTATATGTTTTTACGTGGAATACAATATATTTAATTCCTATGGTATTACATTTGTAAAAAAAAAACAAAGAGATGTTACATTCTCTTTTTACAAAAAAAACCCCAATATTTTTACCAATTAAGAAAAGCAATGACGTTATTCACAGATCTCCGTTAAAAACACTTACCATGACAATCATTGAGAAGCATAAACAAGCATAAAATAATGGAAGGAAGACTAGCAGTTGTCATCTTGAAACAGTTTCAGTATTCACGCCCTTATCCAGAGTTGTTTTTACACCTTGTGTGAAACGTGGCTAAAAGGATGAAACAGCCCTGTTTATACCAGAGCCTCGACTGTTTCTTTTTTAAATACTTTTTTTCCACCACCCATTCAAAGAAAAATAATTAAACTTCGCAAATAACCAGAAGACACTGACACGTGCAACATGAACCTCTTTTCAAGGTTGCTAAATGGCGTTCTCACGATAAGACTGGGCGTGGATCTAACAAATGTAAAAAAATATATACATAAATATATACAAATATGAACAAACAAAAATGGTTTTTGTTTGAAATGAAAATATCTCACGATGAATTTGATACGTTTCTAATGTTTTATTTAAAAAAACAACCCGATGTGTTATAGCATTTGGGGAGGGGGGGGGGAAGAGACGAATTTGTCCTTGACATTATTTGGGAAAAGGGAAAATCCGTGTTTCTCTTCTTACGGCATATCACATTATATTTGTCTGGGGTGAGGTTTTTCTTTACATGTAGAGTAAACGTTTATAAATATTTGGGTTGGTTTTTTTTTAATGTTAATCTTATCACTGGCAATGAAATATGTTTATCGTTACTTGAATCAGCGTTTCAAACGAAGACTTTTTCCTAGGAAACTTAAAGTCAACAATTTGTAAACATCCTCAAGAGAGGAATGCGGCACGTAAGCAGTGAAGTACACACACAATATGTGTGCTGACGAGATGGGAAGAACGTAGTCTTAACATCTTTTGATTTGATTCACTAGGTTTCAAATGTTAAAATGTTTGATTTTTGGACACCTATGTAGAAAGTACTTTGTAACTAGATAAATACGAAGGGAAACATTGTTCGTACTCCAGGGATAATGCAATGTGTGTGTATGATTATGTGTTGTGTGTATGATTATGTTTTGTGTGTATGATTATGTGTTGTGTGTATGATTATGTGTTGTGTGTATGTTTATGTGTTGTGTGTATGATTATGTGTTGTGTGTATGATTATGTGTTGTGTGTATGATTATGTGTTGTGTGTATGCTTATGTGTTGTGTGAATGATTATTTGTTGTGTGTATGATTATGTGTTGTGTGTATGATTATGTGTTGTGTGTATGATTATGTGTTGTGTGTATGATTATGTGTTGTGTGTATGCTTATGTGTTGTGTGTATGATTATGTGTTGTGTGTATGCTTATGTGTTGTGTGTATGATTATGTGTTGTGTGTATGATTATGTGTTGTGTGTATGATTATGTGTTGTGTGTATGCTTATGTGTTGTGTGAATGATTATTTGTTGTGTGTATGATTATGTGTTGTGTGAATGATTATGTGTTGTGTGAATGATTATGTGTTGTGTGTATGATTATGTGCTGCGTGTATGATTATGCGTCGCGTGTGACTGAATTGTGTTGAGTGTGTGAATTGTGTTTGTTCTTTGTGTATTGTGTTCGATTTATGTTTGTGTGAGTAGTGTGTGTGTTTGTGTGTGTGTGTGTGTGTTAATAATAGATGAGTGTGAGGGATACGCGTGAGAGGATGTGTTTTAGTGTAATATTTAACAGTCTAATTGGTCGACCAGATTCAGTTTTGAAAAGGTAATTCACCAACACGGTAACTGCCGCGTCTGATAACATTGAGCATGTGCTTTGGTGTATGAGGATTTTAAATCTCTTACTGAACTGAATTGCTGCATGAATAGTTTTTTTTCAGTTGAAAGTATTTTGTAACGACATCCTGCAAAGCAAGTGATTCTTAAGTTTATATGGAAACCGGTTCACAACATTTGGTAATGTAAAAGAAATTGATAAAAGAACACAAAAATTGTTTTGTAAATAAATATTTTATGCTATTGATAAGCGTCTTCCTAATTTTTTTATTTTTGATGTTAACTTCATTTTTTTTTAATTTTTAAAATTTTTGTTTTTTTAATCCAAAAATTCATTTTTCAACAGAAGATGGTTTTTATTACCTCTATTATGAAACAACTTGAGTAGTAAAAAGCATATTTAATCGTCATAAATTATCTAAATACTCGAAATTTTTTTGATGTTATAATGCTGTATATTTATAATGCAGACTGTGGACACAAGAAATAATGACATGATATGCAAAAGCCTGATTAGCGACAAAAGACCACACACACACACACACACACATACACACACACACACACACACACACACACACACACAAAGAACACTTTACGGCTGCAAGTCTTCGTACTAGGCAAATACAGCGATGAAAAATATTTTTAAAGAATATGAAATAAAATTGAGGATTTAGCTTTAAAACGTTACAGAAAGTCTTGACAGGAAAGTAGCCCGAAACAAACATTTTTTTTGTTGATATTTTTTATATTTAATTCTTAAATACAGAGACGTATAATGTAAAAGAGTAGACAGACATAACCAATCGCCTTAGTTTTCCATTTTGCTTATTTTCTATGATCTCCTAGAATTCATTTAACCAGTGTGTTGTCAGTGCATCGGGCGTAACCAAGACATTTATTGATAAGAGATAAAACCAACATAAAAATGTGCATATACCAATATTGATCAATAATTTTTAACAACCAAGACATCTATTGATAACAGATAAAACAAAGATAAAAATTGGCATAATATGTCAATATTGATCAATATTTTTAACAGCTAATCGTCCATTTCGTATTGATTTCTGTGTTTGGATCAATCGCTGAACAGTTGGTGCGACCTGTATTCTTCTTATCCTTAGATTATGTAGGCTAATTATCGATATATTAAAGTACAGTTCTACATTTATGTTCAACCCGAAGAAACGTGTAATTAAATGTCATGATAATAGTCGTAAAAGAATAATATGTTCCAAATCAGTTTTGAGAAAATTCGTTTCAACCATTGAAAGTATCGCGGCATCTTTTAATCAAAATACTCATTACAATTTTTCGTATAAATTAATTTAGTAGGAAATAAAACCAAATATGTATGTATATTTTTTTAAAATGTGTTTAATGTGAGAGTTGCCTAATTAAAACAAGTTGTTGCCATCCAGCGGCTCATTAAAATACTTTCTTAACGGATACACACAAATTATACAATAGTTTATAAAAAAATGACTCCAAACAAACACAAGGTTTTGCCGACTCATGGCGTAGAAAATAAATGAATAAAAGAAAATGCGTTAAAGCTATTTCAGTATCTCTGTCTTTTAATCAAAACACAGGATGCATCCATAGATTTTTAACTCGAGTTTGTTACTTAAGTCAGTTTTAAAACATTAATGTAACAAAAGCTGTGTCTGAGCGATTCAGTCTGTCCCCCCCCCCCCCCCCCCCTTTTTCCTAACTCCCTTTTCTTATGACGCATGGTACCCGGATGTAACCAGTCATGTCGAGAACGCTGTTTTCGGCGAACTGGCGAATTCGGCGAATTCATGTACATTTGTTACTAAGAAATAATTACATATTTATTTTGGTAGTTATTGCCCCTTCATTCTGTGTGTTTGTTTTTATTGTAATTTTATTTTATTTTTTTTAACAATTTTTTTTTTCAAATTATCTCATGTTCGTGCATTTGTGTTAGTGTGTGTGTGTGTGTGTGTGTGTGTGTGTTCGTGTGTGCGTGTGTGTATATAAAAGTTACTTTAATACCAATAATGTTTATAATTAATTCTTTTATGGACATCAAAGTGTGTTAATATCGTCACATGTGGTTCCATCATTTTGGAAAAACATCACAAGCTTTGCTGGAAGATAAAATGTTGAACTGAGATAATTAAAGACGATCAAAGTAACACAAAAAGACAAAGCTAGAAAAAACGCGAAACAATTGCTTTAAAGAAATTCTTTTAAACTTATTAATCAAAGGTTGTTTTGTTTTTTGTTAATTTTTTTTTTAAAATCACAAACCAATGAAGATTATCTTCCAGATAAAACAACAGCAACGTGAGAATCGCTGCCAGTGAAGAATTATATGGTTGTTTTTTCTAATAAAAATATTAACGCGCGATCATTAGATGAACGCTGTCGCTACATCGTCACAATTAGTTGAGAAGCAATTCGAGTTTAGAACAATAGAACAATACGCTTTTCGGGGTTGGACTGGCAAGACCACTATTTGAAACATTCGACCAATAGGAACAATAGGCCAGCGATTCTAAAACTGGAGGGGATCGGTGTCAGATTTATTTTCTTTTTATTTGGCCATGAATGTTCCTGTTGTGCTGAAGGGCGACGTAAGACTCGTGTACCGGCGCCGGGCCGGGGACGCACTTTGGATAGCGCCACACTAGTGTCATGGAAAACGTGTACGCTGCAGTTCAGAAAAAAAAATCCATTTTGTTGGAATGTGAACGGTTTTGCTTTAAATGGTGTTCAGTTCATCGTTAAACGAGTTTTACATGAAAACTTAAAATTAAAGCTTATAATTAAATAAGTTTTGAATTAAAACTGTAAATTAAAGCTTCAAAATAAAGCAAGTGTTTTAATAGTAATGTCTAAACCTTTCTATTTTTAGAATCATCTTTATTTTTATTTTAAAAAAAATATTGACAGCTTTTAAAGGATTAAAGGAAATTATATTCTGAGGGAGCACAAGCCAATTTAAATTCTTTATATCATTCACACACTTTTTATCATTTACCTGTCATGAATGGTGTAGTATAATAACAATAATTTGTTGTGTTAACTCGAGACTGCTGTAAAGCTACACACAATTCAACGGTTCACATTTTTTTTCATGAAAAAAAGAAACAACATAAAATAGGATCCATACCCATCCAGCCAAACGGAGTTCAGCAGACCCGATCAAAATCGACTCCAGGGGAATGAACTCACACAATGTTGTTTTTGATCATACAGATTTGATTGTATACTGTGTATCTGGGATTTCTTCATTCAGTAATTTGTAATTTTACTTTGAAAACATTTAATCTTTGTGCTAAAAAATAGGGGAATGAACTCACACAATGTTGTTTTTGATCATACAGATTTGATTGTATACTGTGTATCTGGGATTTCTTCATTCAGTAATTTGTAATTTTACTTTGAAAACATTTAATCTTTGTGCTAAAAAATTTTGTAGCACAAAATTTTGTCATTGGGTGCGGGATGAATGTCACAGATCAAAGATTTAGATATGAATTGTGTTAAGTCGAATGATCAGGAAGTTAAGGAAGTTATGGGATACGGTTGGGGGGGGGGAGCTGCCGGGTGGGTGGCCGTGGAGTATTTTTCTTTATTAGCACTTGCTATGATTACTTTTATATCAAACAGCATTTAATGTTGATTCAACAAATG